CACCACTAGAAGTCAAAGTCGAAAAGGGAGAACAATGGTTAATTGTACAACAGGTTGGATCTAAGAGCTTATTATCATCTGTACACAATTTTATTTAAGAAAATGAACATGATTTTTGCAATCTAATGCTCTCTCTCTAGACAATTTTCAGGCAGGTTTCCATTTCCTCTTTATTTAAGTTCCTACATTATGAGCCATATAAAAAATAAAATTACAAAAATAAAATAAAATAAATAAAAATATGTATAAATCAAAATGGAGCCCACAGAGATATTCTTGATATATATATGCTAAGAAGAAAAAACCACGTGCAAGGCACGGGTCGAATAATGAAATGAAAGATTATATGAAAAAATATAATATAATTATATTGTTTAAGTTGATCATTTGTGTACTCTCTCTTATGATAGGTAGAGGTGACTTAACTTTCCATCAAGGCTAAGCTCAAAAAATTAAATCAAACATTTTATATATTTTTATACATCATAAGTTTTTCAATTTAAAATTTGTTTTTTTATTTTTTTTATGCAATATTAATGTTAGTAATTAAAATCTGTTGCATTCAAGTATAGTTAATCCATTACTTTTTGAGTAAGTATATTACAGCTATTTCTTTTTTCTTTTTGGATATAGTTGATCCTATTTTTGATTTCATCCATTTTAATTTAAAAAAATTCTTTTCATAAATGCTGCAAGTGTTGTCAATTATAAACAATATAAACATTTGTAACTTAATGTAGTCCTTTATATGATTCGATATGTTAATTGAAGTATTTTTCTCTGCTCGTAAGACTTAATTTAAAACTTTTAATTATGAAAACAAATTTAAATGAACAACATATCTGAAAAATATTCACTATTTTTGGTTTTGTTTTTTTGAGTTATTCTTTGAAAAGTGATTTGAAAACTTTGTTTTAAAAATAAATATATGTTTGCTTTTCAAAAAATGCGCTATGCAATTTCAAATTTCCCTTCACAAATTGAGAGAGAGGGCTAGATACATTAACCAATTAAACTTTATCCCATTTGCCCTCCAAAAGTTGAAAAGTTGTCAAATTTGTCACATTCCAAAAATTTGTCAAATTTCCCTCCAAAAGTTATACCAAGATTATGAAAACTTTATCCCATTTTCTAAATAACTAAACAAAACTTCAAAATTTTCAAAAAAAAAATGGGTTTAGAAAAATGGAACCAAACATGATTATATTTTAGAATACAATCAAGGTTAAGACAAAAGCATAAATGCCTAAAAGTATTTGATCCCCCATCTGTAAACTAAAAATAACTTTGTTAATAGACACTGGTAAAATTGATAATAAATGTAAAATTTACTGAAGAAATAAAATTTTAACTCCAAAAATATGTGATATGTGTCATTTAAGTTAAAACTCAATTAAAAAAATTACTGTCTCTAAATACGTGACATTTGTCACTTTGATATCCAAAATTACACATTTACTTCAAACTTTGACAGCATCTTGTAATGGAACCAAATTGAAATAATTTTTATACGTTAGAAATCAAATTAACACAATTTAAACTCTGAGAATTAAATTAACTAATTATATATATTAGGGATCAATTAGATACAATTTAAATATTCAGGGTCAAAATGATACAAAACTCATATCAAAGAATAACAATACAATTAATTCAATCAATAATTTATTAAACCAAGGGAATTAAAGAACCCCACAACCCCCATTGCAAAGGACAAAACAACAAATTGATGCTACAATTCTAAAACAACTACTGATTGAACCGGTTAAAAGGTAAATGTGAATATAAATTCCAGCAAGGGGCCTCACATTTGTAAGAAAATGAAACAGACACAGGACATTTGGGTAGGAACATGCCAAAATACAAGCCATTACCTGTAAAGCAACTCTTATATAGATAGATATATATTTTTTGTTAGTGGCCAAAAGCCAAACATAAGGCAAAGAAAGAAAATCACAAAAATTACAGAGGAGAACCACCCATATCAGCTAGGACAGCAGAGGAAACACAGGAGGGAACTTGTTCCATACAAACTATCTCACCAATCACATTCAAAGCAAATCGAGCCAGCTTGATTGCCTTCTCTACCAATATGAGAGCAACTCCAACTCAAAAAGCAAGACAATTGCTCCAATAGCCGACAAGTCTTCCATACAGGACTGAATGGCAGTTGAAAAATCTAGAATTCCCCTAGATGTTGATTTGTGATTATGTATCAATTTTAAGCAGAGTATAACAATCCCAATCAAACAATCAAACAATCAAGACAAAGAAACACAACGATCTTGCAGCCAAAACTTCCACATGATCAATATCCGAGTAGTATGTTGGACACAAGAGGCAATGACTTCCCCTTTGTAATCCCTTACTGCTACGCCAATACCAGCTGAACCATCCTTAAAAGTTGCCCCATCAAAGTCTAATTTGTATACACCGTCAACTGGATGGAGGTGACCGATCTACTCTTCCTTTTACTCGGAGAAACATTAACACGATTGAAAGTCAACATATATTCAGCAAGATACCCCACAGCAAATTGGGCAACATCTTCCGCATTCTTCTTGCGCCCACCAAAAATGTTACTATTGCAATTAGACCAAATGCTCTCCAAGCCACCACAGTGCATAATTGGAGGGCCGCCTCAGACATAGTTAGCCAGATTGTCATCAACCAGTCAAGGACATCACCTTTATTTTTTAACCCAGCCCAGTCTTTAAAACCCGCGCAGAACCATACATTTGCTGCAAACACACAATCTTGAAGACAGTGGATAATGGTCTCAGACCCCTCTCCACGGACCTCACAACCGACATCTACTGTGACATCCTTCTTAACTAACAGCACTTCAACCGGCAGGATATTGCAACAGGCCCTTTTAAACAAACAATTTTACTTTATTAGGAACCTTGAGAGACCACAGCTTATTCCAAAAAGAATTTACTTCCTCTCTGTTCGAACACTGGGCAATTCTTGGCCATATTCAGAGCCACAAAACAAACTGTACAAACCGAAAAATAGCCATTTTTAGAATAATGCCTGTAAGATAAATTGATAGAAAGAGAATAAATTGTATGTATTGATGTATTTTGTATCTGTGTTGTTAGCTCCTTTATATAGAGGAGAGGTTACATAATTTGGAGGAGCCATTGAGGAGCAGCTTACCGAAAGTGGCCGAAAGGCTTACAGAAAGGAAATACTAATGATGAAAGCAAGCAATCGCTAACCTATTATAATACTAACATATTATAATAACCTATTATATAATATTATACACTAACATATGAATAACATATTATAATAGGTTATTATATAATATTAACAGCCCCCTCAAACTCAAGAAGGATAAACATAAACCAACTTGAGTTTGGAGAGAGTAACAAAACAGGAAAGTAAACTAAAAAATAAAATAAAATAAAATAGGAGAGGAGACACTGTATGATTGTGTCAAATTGTTGTTGAAGACACGGTATGATCGTGTCGGACCGTTGTAGCAGGACAGTTTACGAGGTCATGCCGGACCGATGTAGCAGACACTGTGTGGTCGTGTCAGACCGTTGTTGTAGAAGCTAACCGGAATAAATGTTGGGACAGTTTACGGGGTCATGTCGGACCGTTGTAGAAGCTGACCGGGATCAATGTCGGGACAGTTTACGGGGTCATGTCGGACCATTGTAGAAGACAGTTTATGGGGTCATGTCGGACCGTTGTAGAAGTCGCACCCTCAAAAGGTGTGCCCAATCTTTCAAAAGGCGTGCCATCAAAAGGCGTGCCCAATCCATAAAAAGGTGTGCCGGACATTATGGCGATACGCGTGACTACCTTGGCTTGCGCGCCCATGTTGTCGTCTAGTGCCGAGCGGCGCACGATACGCGTGTCTACCTTGGCTATTTAACCAAGACGGAGGCTGAGGCTGAGGCTGAGGCTGAGGCTGAGGCTGAGGCTGAGACAAAAACCTGCTAAAAACCTCTGAAAACTCTTCGTTTTCTGAAAGAGATACTCTGTAACACTCTGTTGCCCAGAAAATGGCTTCGTCTTCCCATGGTCTGCTCACTCTCTTTCCCGACCTCAACGAGTCAACAAGAGAGATAACTCGTGCGGTGGCCAGTGAACCTCAACCAAACACCTTTGGTTTTGCTCCGTTGAACTTTTCGATGCGGTCTGTGGAGCAAAAAATGGCGGTGCAAACTGATATTGACACTGCTGGAAAATCAATTTTTAGCGGCGTTTTAAAAACGCCGCTATAGGTACTAAAAACGTCGCTAATTATTTTTGTGACGTTTATTACCAAACGCCGACGACGCGGCCGTCGCTATAGCTTTATGGCGTTTGAAAAACGTCGTTATATGATTATAGGCGGCGTTTTTAAAAACGCCGCCAAATGTCCTACCTAATTGTACTATGACGTCACTATGACATTTAGCGACGTTTTTGAAACGCCGTTAAAGATATTTATACATTTTAAAAATCTAACCGTTGGGATAGGGATATAGTGACGTTCAAAAAACGCCGCCATAACCTTTATTTTTATTTTTTTTATTTTTAACGTTGCGCTAATTTTATATGGTTGAAAAAAATACCTGTCAAAAACAATTATTAAGAACTAATAATTGATGTTTATTAAAATAATAAATAAACTAAGTTTGAAAACAAAATTAAAAATAAAATAATACGGCTCTTGACATGTTATTATACCGATTAGTAACATGATTACACTCTCATCTATCCATCACATAACACATTTGGTATAAAGTTAAAAAAAAAAATTATAAATTATAAATTATAAATAAATAATAATAGTAGAAGAAGAAGAAATCTGATGCACCAACATTGTATTCAAGCAATCAATATATTCTTTTTCCTTCTTGAAGACCCATCAAGTAGAGTAGAAAACTATGAAGAATCAATCAACATGCAAGAACCCTCCTATAATACAAACTGCAGGCCATCTTCTTTAGATAAGTAAAGAGTTTATACAAACTGCAGACCATCTTCTTTTTTTAAGAGTCAGTAATGTATCATATTTCTCCACTTGTCCTTCAAATCAACCTAAACAAAAGAAGCCCTTATGTTAACATAAAGAAAAATAATATTAAAGCAGAAAAAGGGCACAACCATAAAAAATTCTCACCTCGATTCTCTCTTCAAATATGTAACGATCTGAATTTAAGATGAGCTTCCAGTTCCCTCTACCAAACCTTCAAAAGAAATAAATACAAATGAGTGAGGAGCTTTACATTATCCTAGAAGATATCATCGATTATTTAATTCTCTCAGTTGACATGAAAACAGTAAGAAAAATAACGTCAAATTAGTATACATTAATGTGTTTGTAAGGGGAAAAAGTTGACATGAAAACAGTCCTCGAAGAAGAAGAGGACAAAACTTTCTACCCCAATGGTTAACTCATATCCCTTCGGGTGGTAAAACTGGTGTAGCATTTCAGGGTCACACACATGCACATATAAAAAAGTGATGCTATACAATGTGGAATTACAAATATTTATTTCTTCTTTTTCTTTTAAAGAAATAAAATACAAAGAGAATACAATCTTGACCTAGGAAAAACATCTGACATAATTAAACTAATAGAACAATAAAAATATTAAGTTTATTTAATATTCACATAAAATTGAAATTCTAGAAAGGCCTTCCCTAGATTAAATGTAAAAAATCGCATACTTCTGCACGCCAGTTCTCAAAGTGTCTTCTTCCAGTGTACTCCATCTCTTAATTTTTCTCCTCCTTGCCAATTTCTTAATTTTGTGCTTCTTCAAGGGAGAAACAACCATTCTCTTCGGGGTAGACAAGTGAAGTCCACTCCGAGAATCACCTGACTCCTCAGGAAAGCCCAGACCCAAGCATGCACCATGCTGAATAACCTGCACCAATCAAAGTTTCCAACACCACTATTATAACAGAAATTCATGGTGCACAAAAGTAACCGAACAATAGATTATAGAGAGCAAGCACCTCTCCATTGGTACTGCATAGGCTATCACAAAGAAATTGTTTGATACCCTCCCCATGGTTTGCATGAATCAAGCCTAGGGCATAGAGAGCACCGCCTTCAGAGTATGGACTGCCACCACCACCAGCCCCACTCTGTGGCAAGTAAGGGGCCATCAGAGATCTATATGCAAATTGTACACTATTTCTCGGCTCCACAAACTGCTTTATTGTCTTGAGAATAAGAAGACCCGACCTATATGCAAATTATAAAATTAGTGAAAAAAGCTTTAATAATCATTTGTTAATACATACCCCATAGAGGCAGATCGTCTGAACAATATTTAGCATGCCGGAAACCAAGAAGAAGAAGATCAGAATAGGGCAACATAAGTGAAGAATAGAGCTCCAACAAATATATAAGATATTATTGATAGTCATCTCAATACAATTGCATATTGATAGTATTACACCAAAAGCCCAAACTGTATATAAAATAGCCCACATATATATATATATATAGAGAGAGAGAGAGAGAGAG